TGAACAACTTCAATCATAACAGAAGACAGACAGAACTTAAGCTGAGCAAGTCGTAGTAAGCAATGGCTTTACCTATTAAAGAAACAATATGATAATCTGATCAGCTGAAGAAAGCACAGGCTATTATCTAATTTAACAGCCAGCAGTTTGGTCTTTGTGACCTGTTCAACTGATCTCCCATCAAGTCACAAACTAAGTGAAGCAGCCTTTAGCATTTCTAATTTCAAAGACCATTTTAGTTTTGTCGACATTTAGTACTAGTTTGTTCATTTCACCCATTAAGCAGTACTATATAAAGCAACATGTATATTCTCTCAGCTCTGCTGATGCTAGTTGAGCCTTGTGCATCTCAACCAGCATTTTTAACAACACACGATGCTGGTTGAGCCTTGTATATCTCAACCAGCATTTTTAACAACACACGTCTGATAAAAATCAGAAATAAGAGCAGTTCCAAACAACTTCCTTGAGGAACACCGTAAGATGATTTCTTGCTGTCAGAAATACTGCTGATGTTTTACAGCCATAAAAAAACATTACCAACTAAATGTTGTAATGTATTCTAGCAGGCCAAAATGTGACGGTCAGCTGTGCCCTCTCTCACTTGTATGAGGTTCTAGCTGAGATTTTTCATGAGCAAGTCTGTTACCTTGACTCCAGCATGAACACAAACCCAATTACTGAGATATAAATAAACAGTCATCATGTGATGCAGTGTGACCATATGGCAGGCTCTACTGCGCATTTCAGGGTCACAGAGCAATGGTTTCTGCTGGCTCATGAACACCCTATACGGAGCACCCAGATGTGGGACCAGGCAGCAGGAAAATACTTGGAGTATTGTCCACCAGCAACTTCTCAGAATTAAAAATGCATAAAAGCATGCATCTCAGGTTACAGCTACCACTTTAAGAGTACATAACACACAACATACAAGGCTTGCTCATGAATAAGCAACAGCATGATTGCCAGTGTTGAGTTGCAGGGTGAGACAGTTTAAGTTGACACACTTATAACACTGAGGAATTAACGTACAGACACAGTGCTGCTGACCAAAGCAATAGTTAACTGTGCAGCTCCTTGATGCAGCAATCTCCTCCTAATAATAACATAACAGTTGGCTGACACGTGTCCAAAGCCTATTACAGAATACACTTGGCACTAGTGGCGCTGTTGGAAACACCCCTTATCCTGGCAGGGAGAAAGCCAATAACTGCGTTCTTTCTGTGAAACCAGAGACTGTGAGGAGGGTAACGCTGGCTCAGATCCATCCATAAACTATAACGACATGGGGACTATCACTCAACAAAACAACAAGCATGTACTACTTATTGTGTATCGCGACCTTATCTTGCGATACACACAGACACGCACAGCTCTGCAGAATCCGAGCAAGGCTTAAGTACGTTAAACCACTGAACAATGTGGGGGCTGAGGAGCTGAAAGAACCCACATCTAGCTGTAGTTAGCCAATAGCCTGTACCCAACATAATACCATAATACTAGCCGACTAAATAATAACAAATGTGATTACATCAATATAATGTTATGTATCGTATCCATGATCATATTAGGCGAGCAGGCTAGCTGATCATGATCTTCTACGCATGACACGGATTACTAACCAGTCAGGTAGTCGTCAATACAAATGCAGCTAACATCAGAAAAGAAGCTAACTACTGCTAGCTAGCAGCTTAACATGAGCTATCAAGTCATGCCTATTACTTCCAATTAAACTAAGATAATATGGGTTACTGTAATTACAGTAACCTTCATTTAGTTCAATCTTACCTTTAGAGTATAGAGATGTGGGGGAATTGAGGTCGATATCCGAACTTAAAAGAGATATAAAATCAGAGGGCATCGCAGCGCTTCATCGAGGGGAGGGGAAGCGGACACTCTTTAGTAGAAACGAAGTCAGCTGCTCTTGGCCAAGAGATAAAGCGTTTTACAAGCGGAATGTTTAATACACAGAGTACAACATCGAAACAATCTTAAGGCGACAAAACAAACTTTTAATACAAAAAAGACCGTTACCTAGCACGTCCCACATTAATGTATCTTTGCTGAGAAGAGATACATTTCGGGCTGCGTTGAGACAAACACCCTTGACTGGTCGGCCCAACTCGTAGCCTCTCCCCTTTATGATGCTTAGGCGCATGCGTCGTGACCGGGGTGAGAATACATTCAGTAATCCATCCGTGTACTGTTAGACTTTGAGTAGATGGATCGATTGTGACATTAAGTTGCATCAGTGCCAGTCGGCTTATAAAGACACCCACCCCTAAATTAATGTTTAACAAATAGCTGCTGCCCATGGATGGATTACTGAATATCTAGGAAAGAGAGAGTCTCTATGAAATGACAATGACCATTAACATTAACAGAGCAACAAAGAGATGTAATATGATACCAAAAATGGCCACAAATAAATGCAAATCAACCAAGAAGAGATACAAAACAAACAATGCAACTGGTGTAGTTGTTATGTATCTCTTTTAGTCTAAGGGTCCCGTCCTATGGGATGGGTCGCAGATCTTTTAGATAACCGGTATGTGCACAGGGGCTCATTTACTTACTATATCAGCCGTGGTCAAATATAGTATTCAGTCAGGTATCTTATCATTGTTGGTCTTTTTAAAAAATTGAGATTGTACAGTTCCTTTCCAAATTCAAATCCAAGTACTGTTGGTATGACCTCTGTATTGTCCAGTAGTCCAAAATGTATTGCCCTTAACTAAAAGCAACAATTTTAAAACTATATAAAAATAATGTACTCAATCTTTTACTTGTGTATAAACACACCAAATTATACTTACAGTATTAGTGTGAAATAATTTACTATGCAGCAGAAAAGCAGCTGTCAGTGTTACACTGTATAAGTTTGGTTATGATTTTAATGATATAAATGGTGGAAATGGAGAACATTTCTCTGAAATGCAGTGGAGTAAGAATAAATTAACATAACATGAACAGTGCCACAATATGCAGTAGCCTACTATCCTTCAGTAAGTACACTAGTATACATTTCTTTTGAAAAGCAGTTGTGGTGGACAGTAATTGAATTTACCCTGTGCATGCTACAGAACAAGACAAAAAAGGCCACTAGTGTGTCCCATTCAGGACCCAAGCCTCGAGTGGCTGTCCCAAGGACATCCTGCATATTGAACTGTTTACCTGCGACACACCAAAACTGAAGGTTAATGCTTTCAGATCAGGTGTGCATACTGTCATGATATTAGGAGGTACCAGAATGAATATTATCTTCTACTTTCTGAGGCCACATGTGCATACACATACAGTACACACCCAGGGGTAGAATTGTTGTTAGGGTGGAGAACCATATTAGTGACACCAGGTCCACATCAGTCTCAATGGATGTGAGTGGGGTCCAGATTGGGATTTCAGTTGTCTGGTAGCAGTGTGCACATGGGCATGTTGGAAAGGCTATTCATGCATCACATAGTGCTAGAATGCTGAAGGACTACTTGCACTACATACATGTCTTAACGGTTGATGAGTAACTCTGGTCCCACATCCTTCTTATATCGTATTGTCATGATGAGGCCATGCATAAAACAGAAGACCCTCATGCTTTAGTGCGTCAGTGGTTTGGACAATGCTCCACATTTTGGGGGAGGTAGAGGGTAACCAAGTGGTGCTCGTATGTTTTCTCACTAAGGCAAACTGGAGGAACTGCATCTGCAAATAGCAAACATCTTTACGGTGGACCATGCAAAACCACTTGCCAAACTGATCAAATACCAGTTGATTCTTCAAAGTCAGCATAAACATTTACATGCAAGTGTCTAATATTTCACATTTCCTTGGATGCCATTAAATAGCCACAATAAGAGACCATTCTCCTTTTTGTTTGTAGGAATGATGCACACTTAAAACACCACTTGCTATATAATCACTACACTAGCAAACAGGGGTGGCACAAGTGGAACTCAAGAAATTAGCCAAGTGTGTAGAGCGGCTAAACTTTGAGCACTGCATACCATACTTGATAACTTGTTAGGGAAAGTAGCAAGATGTGTAGCAGAGGTTGGATAACGCTTTTTTTGTGTGACCTTCACTGCTGCAACTTTGTGCTTTACTATCACACTAAAGCTGTTAATCTTCCCCATTTTACTACTCTGCTCATAGGCGGTGAATAGCAGTATTACTAGTGACCAGTTTCCAAAGATGGCAGGTAACTGCAGAAATCGATGTCCTATTATGTTTTTTCTGCTTGTAAATTTGTAACACCACCATTTTGCCAGAGGTCCCTTGGAAAATAAATTTAATAAATGTTTCTATTTTCAATTTTAATGATCTATTTTGTTTTTCACTTGTGTCTTGTTCATGATAATTTATGCATTTGCATACAAAAGTGCTAATGAGCTGAGTGGGAACAACTATGCAACAGCTTAAAAAAGGTGTGAAAAATGAACACAAAATACAAACCCATTACTTGTATTTCCTAACTGAAATATGTTCCAAGTTAATATAAAGTATGTATTTAGAACAAACTATACACTTTTCTTCACATTCTACTTCTAGTGTCTGACCTTCTATTCAGTCGAAAGGGGAAACTTGAATTTTTTTGTGTGAACATGTTTTGTCTCATTTTAGTATATTTGTAAAAAAGGGAGACATTTACAGGCAGTAGAGAGACCCAGCCCGCTGGCTTTTATGTGCCTGTATCTGTTCATTATTACTGGATTTACAGTGGTGGGGTAGCATGATGGGTTTGGGGTCCCCATCAGATTGCCTCTGGTCCTTTACAGGATGTCCTGTAGGTTTCTAACATATTAAATAAGCTATAAAACACAAGTTATAAGATATATGGCATGTATAAGATAGGCTCAAATATATTTATGCTTGTTGTGCTAACATTAATAATACGTTTGAAACGAAAACGAATGTTTAAATATCCCAGAAAAGGACACCGACCTTGTTAAAGCGACAATTTGCACACAATTTCTTCCGCCTCAATTTCCCAAGATGCAATATGGCAGTTGTCATCGTGTTGTTGCGGAAGTCCCGGAAACGTCGTGGTAATTTTGTACCCTGTGCCAGTTGCAGTCATTTTTTCAGAACCTATATTGCTTACTGCTTTGTGTTTTTGGCGTCGTTGTTTGCGTGAAAAACTTGAGTTATGGCAGGTCTAAAATACGCAGGTATGGATGATACAGATAGTGAGGACGAATTACCTCCAGGGTGGGAGGAGAGATCTACGAAAGATGGATGGGTCTACTATGCAAAGTAAGTGCACTCCATCTAGTAATGTTACTGTCAACATCAGTCAGTATCGGCAGTATAGCTTTAACCCCGCTCACTATCAAATGATCTTGACGGTGTTAGCAGTATGTGGCTAACAGCTTGTTAGCCGCAGTATCTTAAATGAGCTCTGATATTTGAACTGAGAGCATACAGTATTGTACTGAAGTCGCATTGTCGTAGGTTTTGTCTTACTGGGGCTAGAAAGATAAATATAACAGTGACACGAATCAGTGACTTCACTATCTCCATATTTTAGTTACAATAGTATGCAATAGCTGCAGTATCGCAGCTCAAAGGTTGTAAGATGAGACACAACTTACTAACAACAGATAGTCTGCACCTACAATTGCAAAACCACCATCAGTATTGGGACAGTGTACCAGTTTTCTTGTGGTGACAGGAAGAAGACACAATCTACTGTGCTTTTCATGAAACATGTAAAACAGTGCCAACATGGTACTTTATTAAATGTTCATCTGGCCTACATCAATGATAGATGTGATTGATTTGTCAGACATGTTATAAAATTGGTTTCCATGCCACGGCCTATGTAATGTCTGTATCAGTTGTCTTGTTTGCCCACAGTTTTTGTTTTCTTTTATGTGTTTATAAAAGCTTTTTCACATCAATACATCTACTGTACACTGTGTAATTTAATGTGGTTTTACCTGCCTTTTGTCAATATTGGTCTCTCCAGTATGAGTAAGTTAAGTAAAAAACATGACAAAGTGAAATGAAATCTTCTTTTGCTCTGTGTACCAACAGTCATGATGAGATGAAGACACAGTGGGAACACCCGAAGACAGGAAAGAAAAAACGCTGTGCTGGAGGTTTGCTTTATTCACCTGATTTTTACTCTTTTACATATTTCTGTTTGTTCCACTTATATTCACATATACAGTGACGAACAGAAGTATTTGAACACCCTGCGATTTTGCAAGTTCTCCCACTTAGAAATCATGGAGGGGTCTGACATTCACATTGTAGGTGCATTCCCACTCTGAGAGACAGAATTAAAAAAAAAATTCAGGAAATCACATTGTATGATTTTTAAAGAATTTATTTGTCTTGCACTGCTGAACATACGTATTTGAACACCTGAGAAAATCAGTGTTAATATTTGGTACAGAAACCTTTGTTTGCAATTACAGAGGTCAAACGTTTCCTGTAGTTCTTGACCAGGTTTGCACACACTGCA